TGGATTCACACTGGTGTAATTAAGATCATGATCTATCTGCACATTTATACAAATAATAATCGGGAGTTTTCCTTGGAACAGATGAAGGAAAACTTTTGGTGAGACAAAAATAGTGTAAAAAAGGAGCTGCTAATATGTACAGATAATTCAATGAAATTTCTGTTTGCAGTTTTGGATTTCCATTACAGGGGTGTACATGGAGTAACTCCACTGATGCCACTGGATTTAGATTGGTGTAAATTAGATTAGAATCAGGGTCAATGTCTTTGTGCATTATAGTCAACATTCATTTGGCTACTGCAGGCTATGTTAAACCTTCTGTGTCTCTAAGGCCTTGAAGTAAATCGATGCATAATTTACACCATAGCTACAAGTCAAGTAGAATGGTTCAAGTTACTCATCTCCTATCAGTTATCTTCAAGATTCCACAATTTGGTTTTCACATATGCAGATTCAAATTTTAAACTATGAAAATGGATGAAGGAACAAAACAGATACAAGAAAGAAAAAGGCAGAAATGGAGAAGTTGGATTTTTCAGCAGTAAAATATCATAGGATGTTCCCTAGGAACTAAGAAAGCAATTTACACAAGAAGAGGGCATTTTTGCATCTTCAGGAACTGTACTTGTGTTAAGATCTAAAAAAGCAGAGCAAAGAGCAAGGAGATGTACCCTGAACTATAACGCTTATTAAAAAACTAAGATCAGGGATACTAAATTCAAAACTTCAGAAATCACTGATTTAAAATTTACCGCGTCTTAGCTTTTCCCAAAGGCACACTTTCCAGTGATCTCCCTAAAACAAAGTCCCTATCTCTGATGTTTTTGTTTTCAAAAGGACAAAAGGACAATAACAGTAAATAGTAGACTGTATAAACTCATTGCAAATACAAAAACAACTAGCAATAAATCAAGCTGTTTTCAAAATAGAGAAAAAACAAAAAATAAATGGACCATAGCTTGATGAAATCTAATAGTGTTAGTTATTTGTTGGTTCATGTTTTCTATCTTGGTGGTAAATTTTCACCAGCCTGTTGTGAATTATTATTTCTTTTTCCATTTTGACAGCTCTGTCTTACCTTGACTCTTTTCCCATAGTCTACAAAAAGCTAAACAACAACACATATGAAATTAAAAACCAGAGCTGTTACCTGCAGCCTAAGGCAATACGAACAAGGTTATTTTCCCAGGCTTTCACAAGCTGCGTGTGTGTGACCTTTGGCAAATCTGTGCATCAGTTTTCCCAAATACAAAGTGTAGAAAAATATCATTTACTTATTTCACAGATACGTTACAAAGCTTATTGGTTACTGTTTGTAACACATTTTGAGTTATTTGGCCGGAATTTGCTATAAAAATTTAAAAATGTATCACTATACAATTATTGCTGTAATTGATTATTGCCTTGATTAGTGCCTTGTCACACCAGGCAGTTTCCAGTGGTATTTATATTTACTTTTTCTTCACCAGTCTTAGTGTAATACATCAGGAAAAGGTCTTAGGGCTGAATTCTTAACTCATGTGAGCACATACCATTCTGTTGCTGTCACTAAACTTGTATCTACTGATACTAGCAGCAATTGCTGCCTTTGGCTCTTTATGGTACCATTACAGGTTCCTCTGTAAAATTACTGTACACAAAATAACAGTGCAAACAAATGAGTTTATTCCAGAAACAAACAATGGCTGCATTAATGTGGGTAAAATAAGCAAATTCTTTTTCTTTACACATGGTATAAAAGACCTAGTGTGGTAAAAATAAATACATCTCGGGAGTGATAGATTACTTTAGGACAATATGTTAACAACAAATATCTAAATAAATTGTGTTTCCCATAATACAAGCACATAAATGACAGTTTAGCCAAACAAACTGTCTTTACAAGTTTTACCTCCTGTTATCCATCTGTATGCTATCAGGTTGACCCATTGTTAATTATATTTTTAGAAGCCCAAGAGACAAGAGCCCCTTTTGTTAGGCACCATGCATATATGTAAAGAGTCCCTGTCCCCGAAATCTTGTGATCTAAGTAGACAAGGCAGGAAGGGAAACAGAGGCAGATGCACATGAAGTGACTGGTTAAGGTCACACAGCAGGTAAATGGCAAAGCTGGGAATAGAAGCCAGATGTCTAGGACCATACTGTCTCTCAAACCAGGATTTGTACAGATTCTATCTCATGGGTTCTTTCACAAAAATCCTAGTTTAATCTTCATCATCAAGTTGGTGCCTCTCTCTTCTCCTACCTTATTTCAGCAAGAACTAATACTGATGAACTGGTCTCTGGCAATGTTCAAAGCAATTCTTACACAGGCTCTAAAGTGCAGTACAGCACTCAATGGTACTGTTAAACCCTGGTTGCTAACACTGCTTCAAGGCATTTAGGATTATTGAGGGTGAATGAACCTGTGATGACTGACTAGGTCACACAGTAATGAAAAAGCAGTAGTTTAAAGGCAATTTTCCTGTCCTTTTTTTTCCCCCTAAAAGCCCTAATTTATTTTAAAACAACCTAATCCTCAATTTAGCATCTAAACCTATACCAATAATTACTAGATTTAGCACCTATTATGATACTTTCAAAATTCGTCAGTGGGACTTGGAAGAAAAAAACCTTTACACAAAAAAGTCTTCTATAAACCTAAGGAATTGTGGCTGGTTACACTGTTTGGCCAAGAGGACAAACAAAGAGGGGTTTGTTTTTGTTTCTTCAGAGATAAAAATTCTCCAGCCTAAGACTCAATGCTACTCTGCTAGAGTTAACAGGAATTCTCTCACTAAGATTGGTTAGAGCTAGATCAGGATCTTAAATGAAATTTGCTTTTGGAGTATGTTCTTTTCATCCATTCATGTAAGACTCTTTTGAAGGGATATGCCCACATGCAGGCAAGAACAGAATCTTATGTAATTGAGCTCTCCGCCCTTCTTTAGTATATGACATGAAGTCCCCAGCCTATCATGAAAATTGATTATTGAAAAAAAACACACAAACCCATACAAACATATCCACATTAGTTCAAATGAAATATTCATTGCATCAAGATACCTAGGGGCCTGCATCTCTATTTACATGGCCACTTTAGAGATGTCTAACTGCGTGGGGGGTTGTTTTTTTTGGTATCAGTTCTTCAATATTAATTTTTGGGGGTCTGCAATATGTATTTCCATTTTGTTTGCAACCTATGGGACTGATCTTCCATTCCATTTCACTTTGTTAAAGGCAGCGTACCTCCATTGGACCCAACAGGTTTATACTGGGGCAAATGACTGATGATAGGTCACTGCTGTATAGTTACCGTACTCTGAATGTCCCCTGCATAATCTATTTTCACAGTTTCTGTGTTAATTGCGTATCTTTTTCCCTCTGCAATACTGTATTGTGGTGAGTGAGTATAGTGAGGAGTACAAAAGCTCCAGCTGTAAACCAATGATGGTTGTGTGAGACCCCCAAGAACTGGCAAATAGAGAAGTCAGACCATGGTAAGCCCCTGAGTTTTCTCTTCCTTAGGCAGATCAGGGGGCTGGCTTTGAGATATGTAGAGGGGTGCAGCCATGTGCTTCCTAAGTATAGGGATGTCCTGTTCCCCCTACACTTCCGAAAATACCATCTTTATTGAAGGGGAGAAGGGACCTGAAAGGGAAACACTTCCAGGTATGGAGAGATTAACAGTGCTACCCCTCTCGAAATAGGACACTTACCAATTCTTTAGCCTTAATGAATTAAACTACAAGAAAACCTAAAACCAAAAAATATTTAATTGTACACATAACTGCTAAATTCCTAACTAATGGAGCCAAACTTCACCTCATTTGCACCAGTACAACCCCACCGAAGTCAACTGGGCCATAGGGTTGTGACTAAGGGCAGTACCTGTGCCTCCTTTTTTTCCCTCTCCTCCTAACAAAGAGACTTGTAAGTAAGTGTAGCCAGCTCTATTTCTTTTTAATAATATAAAACGTACCCTTACACAAACTCATACATTTAAAAAGAAAAAGACATTCTTATTTTAACGAAAAAAACCTTGGATTCAAACAAACAAACAAACAAACAAACAAACAGCTGCTGGACTCAAATCGTATTTTACCAAATCAAAGAACGTATTTTATTCATGGTCTCACCCACACCACCAATACTACTGCCTGTACTACCTGCAGGTAATTCATTTGACATTGGTAAGACTGTCAGTTGGACTAGAGACTTAATTTTTTATGCTTATGAAAATGAAGTCTCAGATATATTAAGGGACATGAGTGATGGTTGCCGGGGTCCTCTTTCTTTATGAGACACAGTTACAGATGTTTGCACTGAGATTTCCTAGTGACCTTAAGCATGACCAGCAGAGACAAACTCCCTCAAGGGTGACAGGTCATTACCCTCTATTCTTCTTAAATCCTTGGAGCCCTCCTGAGTACAGCCAATTATGTGAGGTAGTTGTGAAAGGTGAAGTGCGCTCTCATTTCCCCTCAAAGCAGATTGCCGCATTTAAAATATTTCCATCAGCTGAGAGTCGTTTTTCTTCACCTTTGGACACATGTAACCCCTTCTTGCTCTCGGGAAATCCACCCAGGGCAGGTCCAAAGTTCAGAAGCAGCTGGACAGTTGGCCTTCTTTCATTCATGCCATTCATATTGTCTGAAGAGGCAGCTCTAACAGATAGGCTAAACTAAACCTATTCAGGTTAAGGATCAGACAGGGGGATGCATTGTGGAAATGCATGCCCCCTCCCCTCCGCTCCCCCTCTCCCCCACCCCAACACACAGGAGAGAAATTTTGGTTTATTCTGACAGCAAACATACCAGACCCAATCTTTATCTCAGCTGTTCTTGCACTTAAACTTACTCAGTAAAAAGGGCATGATTTTGATCTCCTTTGTCTCCATTTTACACTGGTGCAAGGCAATGACTTGAGTGTACTCTGGTATAAAACACGCAGCGATTCTGGCCTTGAATATACTTTATATTACAAATTTCTCCATACACAGAAAATCTGAGGTCTCTGTATCAGCTTTTAACTTTTATTTTAGCAGCAAGTACAGCACAATTTACTACAAAAGGATAACTGGCCAAACTCTTTTTTCCCCCCTTAAATCTGTTGATTTAAAGAGAATTATCCCAGCAAAGGATCAGACATCACATTTCAATGGCCTTCAGAAACCCTTTATAGAGAAGAAGGTAATGGTTTTATATGATGGCACTATGGAATCACATTTCAAAATTATATCAGCCTCTGGCTATTTCCTCCTCACCTCGCACCAGCATATCATCTGAGGAAAAAAAAGATGCCATGACTATTATTCTATTTTGCTGTGCATGCAGTAATATCATTCTCCACATTTGAAAGCTTACATCTTTTTTAAACAAAATCCCAGCTCAACTGGGGTCCCTCTAAAAACACCGTAATAGGTTTATTAAGATTCCCCCACTCTCTAATCCTAATCTCTCAACTCATTTGTATACAGCAGACAATAACATAAAAACATCTTAGTCAAAGAGGCATTGCACTGATTTGTGTTCTGTCTGAGAGAGAGCTTTTGGGAATTTCTGGGGAGCTTGCTAATAATTTTTCATGTTTTTTTCTCTCTCTCACACCCCATCTTTCAAGGCCTCGATAAGAATGAACTACCTTGCATTCTGCACAATTACCCTTCTATTATTTCTTGCTTCTAGTGACAGGAGAGAGCGAGCTACAGAGGAAGCTGGCAGATGCAGTGGGGGTTGCAGCAGCAGCAACAACAGGAATGGATCTTCTTCATTTAGCTTAAAGGCAAAGAAGATACTCTTACAGGTGATGCTATTCAATTTAGACCCAGGAAGTGTAACATCATGAAGTTTACTCACTTGGGTAAGCAACATTAAAAAAAGGATTTATGCTGCGCTGTGAAGATGTTGGTCAGAACCCTGCCAGAAAGGACTCTATGTTAATTTTTTTTTAACTACATAGGCCCCATCCAAAATCCAGCAGGATCTCTCTAGTCACCTGGTCTTTGTCTTTTGACAGATTCTACTTTGACTCTTAAGTTTCCGGGAAACGGGCCACAGCCATGCAGGCAGGGGCTGCTGAGAAATGGAGTCTGGCTGCTGGCCAGATCCACCATTCTGCCCACCCCTGAGATAGGATCAGACAATACCCTAATGATTCATCAGCTTGCCCTGTTTCAGGTATGTGATAAACTGAACTCTTCTAATTCATAATGAAAATGTCTTCACAGTTTGCCTTGAACTTTACACCAGCCTAACCATCAAGTGACTTCCTTACTTACGTGGACACTTTAGGATGATACAGTACCATAGTTTCTCGCATACAACATGAACCTTTTCTATTTCTGTCTATGAATGTGAAACCAAAAATAAAACCTACTGTGATCCACAGCCACAAGGAGCAGAACAATGCACAGGCTCAGCTCCCTAGCTGCTGCTGCAGTTATTTACTACAGGAAAAGATCTTTTTTCTTCATTCTGCCTTTCAAAATCAAGGTGCATACCATATTCTGGGGTGTGCTGTATGTGAAAAATATGGTATACCTTGGCCATATTCAGAAATCAGCCTATTTAGCTCAGAAATATTCTACATAGCTCAAATGTAGATTTCCAACAGCATCAATGTGGCTGCAGGTCAGCTGAAGAATTCAGAATTTTAAATACCTGCAATGTTTAAAAACACTGAAGCCCAGAGTTTTGGTTGTGCCTCATTTCTAACATTTTATCTCTAAAGCCCCAGTTCATCAAAGCATTTAAAGATGTGGTTATTTTTAAAGTAGATGTATAAGTTCTTCCATTTTCAGAGATGTACTTAAGCATATGGTTACCTTCAAAGACATGTGTTAATGTTATCCTGAATAGAATAGTGGACTCAACCATGTGTTTATTTTCAAAGAAGATCCAATATAACCTCATAAATCTGGCATGCTTGGGACCGAGCACCTGCCGGAAATTTGAAAATTCCAGTTTTTTTAAACCGGAGCGGTGGCCGGTCCTGGAGCAGTGGCTGCACACGGAGTGGGGTGGTGGATGGTGGCAGCAGCCGCTGCATGCAAGCTTCCCCTTCTGTATCCAGGGGAGTGAAGGGGGAAGCTCAAAAAGTGATGGATTTTTGAGAATTATGGATTTTTGAGATCCAGATTTATGGGGTTATACTGTACTAAAATGTTTTGCTGAATTGGGGCTAAAAACACCAAAAGTTTTTTTCAACAGTCTAATATTACTATTAAGCAGGTATGTAAATGTTTGTTAAAATGGGACCCAATTACATATTGCATGAAGTCTCTGACAAAAGCTGTTTGACATAGTAGATATACTCTTGCTGGGGCAGAATCCAAAAGGGGTGAACTGTCACAGATGCCCCCCCTTTTAGTCAACAATGCTGTGAGAGCACCAGGGGCTTGTTTTTAAGTCCCCAAATCAGGTAAAACTGACACTCCTCCCTTCCTCTCCATGATCAGCAGCACATGTTCTCCCCTCATCTTCTCTTCCTTCTCCCATCCACCACAGTTGCCACTGTCCCTGGCTGCCCCAGGGGTGGGAGAAGGCCCCTAGAACTGCTCCTGCCCACTCCAGCTGGGCTGTGCAGCAAGCTGGCCTCAGTCAGGGCCACCAGCAGCAGCAGGTGGGTTCATCCTCCCAGCCCAGGGCGGGTACCCTGAAAGCCCAAAAGCAGGCATGGGGAAAAGGAACTTTCCTGCTGTGGCTGCTGTTTCTGGCAATAGCGGAGACAGTGGGGCATAGCAGGGACAGTGGCACTGATGGGCAGGAGAGGAGGGGAATGGGAAGGGAGGACAGAGGACATGTCGCTGTGCACAGAGGGGACATATAAAAGGTGGGAAGTTTGTTACCAGATTGAACGACTTAAAAAAAGGCCCTGGCTGCTGCTCCTGTGGTGCGAGCTGCTCACTCTGGTGGGGGAGGGGAGAGGCTGGAAGAAGGAGTGCAAGCATACCTGCATCCTGATCATCACTCCCACACTTTCCTTTATAAAATCTCAAAACTACCCTCATACTCTTGCATGTAATGCTTTTGGCAGTATTCGTTTCTGGTACTGACATATAATTAATTGACACACTGGCTGTAGGTACAGGAAATGAGTTTCTTGCAAGATACTTATAAGCCAGAAGCCTCTGACAAGGGGCTCAGAAGGTAGTAGTCAATAGCTCAATGTATATTTGGCAGCCAGTATCAAGTGCAGTGACCCAGAGGTCAGTTCTGGAGCCGTTTTTGGTAAATATCTTTATCAATGACCTAGAAGATGGGATAGAGTGCACCCTCAGCAAGTCTGCAGATGACACCAAGCTGGGGAGTGTAGTAGATACATTGGAGGGTAGGACTAGGATTCAGACAGACAAACACTAGACAAATTGGAGGATTGGACCAACCCCACCCCCCCCCCAAAAAAAAACAACAAAAAAACAAACCTCATGAAGTTTAATAAGAAGTGCAAAGTCCTGCACTTAGGACAGAACAATCCCATGCACCAGTACAGGCTGGAGACCGACTGGCTAAGCAGCAGCTCTGCAGAAAAGTATCTGAGGGACAATAAGCTGAATATGAGCAACACTGTGTGCCTTTGTTGCGAAGAACGAATGGCATACCGGGGGCTGCATTGGTAGGAGCAGATCAAGGGAAGTGATTATTCCCCTGTATTTAGTAGTGGTGAGGCCACATCTAAAGTAGTGTTCAGCTTAGGCTCCCCCCACTACAGAAAGGATGTGGACAAATTGGAGAGAGTCCGGCAGAGGGCAATGAAAATGGCTAGGCAGCTGGGGCACATGACTTACGAGAGGCTGAGGGAACAGGGTTTATTTAGTTTGGAGAAGAGGAGACTGAGGGGGGATTTAATAGCAGCCTTCAACTACCTGAAGAGTGGTTACAAAGTGGATGGAGTTAAACTGTTCTCAGTGGTGACCGATGACAGAACAAGGAGCAACAGTCTAAAGTTGCAGCAAGGGAAGTTTAGGTTAGAATAAACTCTCTCACAAGAAGGGTGGTAAAACACTGGAACAGGTTACCCAGAGAGGTTGTGGACTCTCCATCCTTGGAGGTTTTTAAGACCCAGCTAGACAAAGCCTTGGCTGGGATGATCTAGTTGGGGATGGTCGTGCTTTGAGCAAGGGGTTAGACTAGATGACCTCCTGAGGTCCCTTCCAACCCTAACTTTCTATAATTCTAAGAATATTGGGTTCTCTCTGGTTAATTTTTCTTGCTGTTATACCCTCTTACCTTTGCCCAATAGATACATTTACCCAAGTACCAGAAGTATCCAGAGCAGTGTACAAACAGTGTAGAAGAAAAAGAGACTTGCATCTGGACAGGCTTCTGAAGTTATGGGGCAGGAAGTCAAAACTCCAGATCTTCACTAATTGCAATCTCATAGCTTTCAATAAATTACAGGATTGTCTCACTCTTCTAACAGCACACAGGTTTCTTCTTCAGGACCTGATGATCTCATGAGGTCCTTTCCAGCCCCCTAACATCTATATCTCAGCTGAGTCATGGGACTCTCATACTCACAAGATAAACTCCCTTAGTTCTTTTCAATCCATGGGATATTTTTTACCTTTTGCTTCCCTTGGCCACTTTTGTATCATGAAGGAAAAAGTAATGATTTTAGGGTTATTAAGCCATGCATAAAAATGTCATTTGAGATCAAATCACACTAGAGTAATTTTAAAAAAATTACAATTAGCGTGGAATTCAACTTCCCCTCCTAGGGAATCAAGATACTACTAGGCTATTAGTTTGAGGGGGAAAAAATATCAGATATAATTAGCCAATTACTACAATACACAAGCTTGACCGATCACTCCATGGTAAGGAGGTCAGCTGATGACTTATAACCCTATTAAAGTTACTGTATTTCTAATCATCAGTGACTTGATATAAAAAGGCCATATGTCTATTCACAGGAAAGATATTTCAAACAAGTTTGTGAGGGGTGACAGAAGCATGAGTAGATTGAGGAATTTTATTTGTTTCACTGCCAATCAGTCTACTTTTCTGGGTTGAACAAGGGACAGTTGACAAACTGTGAATTTGGACTCCTGGTACAAGTGTTCCTCAGTCAATGATCCCAGGACAGAATCTCTTTAAGTCATTAACATTCAGATCACAAGCTAAAGCCACCACCATCAAGCACAAGGCACCATTTGCTCAGCAGATTCCAAATCAATCATGTGGTAATGGGAGCCATCAAAACATGCTACTTCATCTGAGGAAGCCATGCAATCCAAATCAAGACACATCTTCCAGGTAATATCGGTCTGATGCTGTTTAA